TGGCACGTACGAGCAGAATAATGAGTGAACGTGGTGCAACTTTCGTGCTCCTGTATGGAGGCGAGTTACATGTTGATGACAAATTTGCACCAAGTTATTCTGGGGGTAGGAATCGTCCCTTACTCCGTTACATGTGCCAAGAAATATAAACTTAGAGCAGCTTAAGTTAAGGATACTTAGAGCACTTAAGTATGATCCTACAAAGTTTTCTGTGAACTTAGTCTGTTGAGTGCCTGTGAGAAACGAGTTTGTCGCTTCACATGTAGAAGATGACGATGTTTGTGAAGTTTTATTATGTCAAGCTGCAATAGAATTTCTCATCATGTATGTTGATGTCGAAGAAAAAAATGTAAGTGAAGATGACGTTGAGCCTCCTTCAGAAAGATATGGAACTTCAACCCAAGTTGAAAGGGTTGATGTGGTTAGTACTTCAAGGTTCGAAGCAATAGAAGAAGCCCTTCATTAGTGAGTTTCCTATATCATGTTTCACAAATAGACCTGTAGTAATTTATCTTATTGATTAATTAATAATAAATAATATTTTTAATGTAGTTGGCCTGACTGCTGTGATGACCTTCTTGGGAGCCATCCACTACCAGATGTTCTATATCGGGACTCATTCGATCATCGCATCACATCAAGGTTTCGTATGGGAAAGGCACATACACAAACTTGTATTCCCCTCAGATAGTTGCGATGGACATTTTGGCGTGACTCCAACTTGGACCTAAATGATATGGATTTTTGGAGGCATGTTCGGGCTTACATATTATTCATATTAGGTTGTCACCTCCTCCCGGATACTTCAGGTTCAGAGATACATTTACAATACCTTACTATTATGGAGGATTTGGCAGTATTCAGTACATACTCTCTTAGATGAACAATTTTAGCCCATTTGTATAGAGAGTTGGGACAAGCAACCCGACCTAGTATGGCCAACATAGCTGGATGCATTCATTTGTTACAAATCTGGGCTTAGGAGCATCTGCATGTAGGACGACCTTTGCTTCGTGTTCCCTTTCCAGTGGAACTTCATGGTCTTAGTGTTGGGTTCAGGTATGAGATACTTCTATTTAATCAAAAAATTTTAATACTACATGCAATAAATTTATAACTTTTTTGCTATATAAATGTTAATAGGTGGAATGAGGATCGGCTAAGAGAGTTGCCTGTTGGAAATATCATTAGCTATAGAAATGAGCTTGATGGTTTTCTTGATAGTCAGGTATGTTCTTAAAGTTTTGAAAAAAAAATTAACATGTTAATTCAAACTTATAGAACTTATTATTGAAAATGCAGGTAATTTGGCAGTCATATACGCCTGATATTAGAGCTCAGGTGGCACAGATTTGTATATCAAGGGAGGACATTTGGACTGCACGAGTGCCTCTGATCAGTTGGAAGAGGGTTGAGTGGCACTTGCCAGATAGAGTACTACGATAGTTTGGATTATGCCCAACTACTAACATTGAACCAATGGATCCAAGCTTCAAAAGGGTGGATAGTCGTGGCAAACTAGACATGGACTGGATGTTGTACCACCAAGCACACAGTGCCATATGGGAGAGTAGGCGTGGATACATAGTCACAGGGGACCTCCTTGACCAGCATAATAACTACTCGATCCATCAGTACATACAGTGGTACAAGTCATGGGCAACACTATACATGTTGAAGGCACCTGTTAAGCCTCCCACAACGGCATATCCTAGAGCCCCCTCTGAGCGTCTTCTGGTACATTTAAATTTAATATGCTATAAATTTCTTATCTAATTTATTTTTTTTTTAATTAATAACGAATTTCTTTTGTTATTTCAGAGGGACTTTTTCCTTGGTACTGAACAAGCTTTGCAACGACACTTCAATGGTTCAAATGATACACAACAACATAGGGACATAAACATAGTGGCAGAGCTTTGTCGTGGTTTGCGTAGCCAGTTGTATATTCAAGATCAATGATATTTTGAGGATAGAAGTAGCATGATACACCATTTTCCATGACCCAGGAACCTCCTCAGCAATATAGTGGATATGCTGGACCCTTCTCTTATACTGATCAAGGGCCATCTACGGACCTCTTTAGTAGCCATGTGCCAGTGGATTTGGATGCATACCTCACACCGGATTTTGTACCGAGCTCCCTTCATAGAGATGACATAGCTGAGGAAGAAGTTGCTGAGGAGGAGCATCACATGCTACGTCAAAGACCACGACGACCTCCACAACATTACACTCCAGACACTGATGCATTGCCACAGAGGCCACGTAGGCGACGCTAGTTCATCTTTTTATGTATTTCAGTATGCTTATGTTATGGATCATTTCAATTAATTTAATCTAGTGTGTTCAAAATCACATAGCCTTCCATTCCGTAAAGAGTTCATTAATTTTATTTAGTGGTCTTGCAAGCTAATCCTTTGCTTTAATGTTCAAATAAGATGAAATGAAGATTACTAGCGTTATAATGATTTAATATTACTTATGTACTAATCTCAATAAATTAAATTTTCAATATAATGATTGAACTATCAAATAAGTTTAATAGCAAAGGCTGTAACAACCATTGGAAGCATTTGCTATAACGAATCAGAATTTTTTTTTAATTATAGCCTAAGTCGCTCGTTAAACGGACGACTTATTAATATGATCATTTCTTTGCCAACTCAGCATAACGGTTACAATCCTAGTCAGCGTAAGTCGCCGTTTAAACAAGCAATTTTGCCTATATTTAAATTTTTTTAAAAACGTGCTTAATTTGTTAATATAATTTTTAATTATGCTTATTCTTAAAATTTTCCCAAAGATGAACTAGTGGATGAAACAAACCCATCTAATGATGAACAATGAACCCTACTACCGGAAATTGGAACTAAAAGTGGTCATGTACCTTACGTCGAGCCATTCAACTATGAGTAGGGCTAGCTAATTCAATAATACATTAATAAACATATGATCTTTGAAGTCATTTCATCGTATTAATGTTTAAAAATAACTGAATTATTATTATTTTAGATTAAGGTATCTACCCTCTGTCACCCCCGAAAGGACGCTTGACAGCGTGACTAATCATCGGCTGACCTAGAAAAGGCACCCACCCTAGAAACCTCCTGTCCTGCACATGTATATGCTTGAAATTTTCATAAGTGTAAACAAGCAAGTTTTTGATTGTGAATAAGGGTATGTTTGAGACGACTAACTGATGAGGACATCGTCAGCATTGTCGACGCCGGAGATCGACGGCCACGAGCATGAATTGTATTTTGTCATTTTATGTAGTAGCGTATTTATTTTGATGTTTTTTCCACTTTTGCCCTTATGGTCATTTAGTCGCTTATGTAGCCAGGAAGGGCATTTGTGTCATTTCTTATTTTCTCATTTTGGCCTATTTATATGAGGCCTCATGCATTGTAATTTCAGTTTTTGAATGAATGAAAATTTGCCTCTAATGTTCTCTTTGTGAGTGCACTTCTCGTAGATCTCTTAGTGAGTTCGACGGGGAATTTAGATCTCTTTGTGAGTTCTAACTTGCGTCCAAATTCATTGTGCGGAAATCCGGGTTGAAGATAACTAAGGTTAGTGAATTCGTCGCCACTTGATTCCTTGGAGATCTCCCCAATTTTTCTCCCCTTGGGCTTACCGCCGTCTACCCCTCCCTACCTCCCCACCGGCGGCAGCAGGCCCTCCACCGCCGGCCACCTTTGGCCGGCCCCATTACCCGTGATCTTCCCAGCCACCAAGCCGGCAGCCTTCCCCCTCCGTTCTTCCATCCCAGCATAGCCAGCCGTGAGCCCCTTCTCCCCTCCCCAGCTCAACGATTTCCCTGGCAGCCTTCACAGCCGTTACTGGCTGTGTTGCCAAACCGTGGAAATCAAGCCTTTAAGGCTTGATTAATTGCTTTCTTAATCAGCCTTAGACATTTAAATTCCATCCGTTAATGGGAATTTGAAATTCCAATTTGTTTCTTGCCTACAACCGTGAAAGGAAAATTCCTTTTCTGTGAAATCTGAATAAATTCAGATTTTATTTAAAACCTATTAATGGCTACTTGAAATCAGCCATATTAAGCAAATGATAACTGGCATTTGATTTTCAATTTGAATTTCAAACCTGCTTATGACGTACACCCACAAAAGGAAACCTTCCTTTTTATTGAAATCTGATTCTTTACTACAGGTTTTATTTAAAATCTGTTGCTTAATTGTGTGGGCCCCATTTGATTATATAATTAAACCTTTTCTCCCCTCCATGTGGCCGGCCCATTGATGGCTCCTCTCTCTTCCCAATTTGACAATAATAACACCACAAAATCAGCCCAAAATTCTTCCCCTTTCACCGCCCCATTAATACCATTTGAATTAATTTGAATCCCTCAAATTAATTCCCTCCCACCTCTACCAAAACAGAAATTCCTGCACCCAACTCATGGTCTCTCCCTTGGTCGAATTCTCCCAAGCCCGCCAAAGCTCGAGTGCTTCTCCCGAGCCGCCGAATACACCTTCAAGAAATTGCTGGCAAGAATTCCATATTCCGGCAACTTATCCAAGAACGACGATCCAAGGTTCCTTCTTCCTCGGAGTGACCTCGATTCTAAGGTGGAGACTCTTCTTCCGCTAAAGCCTAGATTAATTGAGCGTATGGGCTCCAAAGGTGAGAGTTCTCTTTATTAATTAGTGGATTCTTGTTTATTGTCGTAGCATACAATTATCCCTTGCATTTTCTTGAATTGATTGGTTAAACGAATGTCGCTCTTCGTTGCCTAAGCGAGTTAAGAGTAATAATTCTTAGGTTCACTCTTTTATTACAAATGATAATTTTAATTTGGCTTACTTTGTTCAAATTGCTCTCTAGAATTTCCTAAAGTAACTCCATCGCATGTACGTTTCACATCACTAACATTTTATAAAATTGACCGTGAAGTTACCGTGGAGAAACCAACTTCTCTATTATGGTTAACAATACATTTTCATCATAGAAATTTTTGAAAAATAATGAGAAAATAATAAAAATAATAATAATCAAATAAAATTATAATTGCTATCTGAAAAGCAAAACAACCGGAGTGTCCCAAAATAGACCCTAAAACAACACAGTATGCTGGCACCAAAAAGGGTAAAAAACACACAAAGTTGGGGCAAACTGCGTACAAGAATGCTCATCCATCCTCTAAGAGACTCGTAATTGCAGAGGAAAAATAATCCAACGTGATCTAATGATATTGAATAGGTATGACTAGTTCAGTCTCCACGCATTCGGTTTCTCAGCACCTTTTTAGCTTGACTTGGAGACACATGAAATAATCCCTGGAATCGCAAGCAATCTTCTGACACTGTATGTCCTTGTGACAAAAGTTTAAGCATCTGATCTGCATCTTTCGCATTAATTTCCAACAGCTTCAAAGAATTACTGATGCATGGAAAAAATGCTTCAGGTCTGGCACAAAATGGTTTAAAAATAAGGAAAAGGGCCTTCATATCAATCCTGAACTGATTGATCCCCAGGGAAGAGAAACTTGCATTGCTCATTGGGATGCTTGTGAAAATGAAATGATCAAGCCCTCCTGCAATGCTTCTCCACAAGTCTAGAAAGTTCTGGGGATTAAGATTTTGCTTGAAGAACTGGATTCGGTCTCTTAACATGTCTAGAGCTTCCATAAAAGTTGGAGATATTAATAGGTAATCTTCATCCGGGATGCTTCCATCTGAGTCAACTTGCTTCATTTCCCACTGCCCACTATCTTGAACATAATTCCAGCATAAATTATCAAAGTGAAGGAGGAGGGAAGTCAAAATCTCCTCAAGACAATCAGTTTGCAGATTCACCAAGACCATTATTCCATCCTCAAACATCCCTTTTGAATCATCTCCAGAAGCACCCATTTCAAGCAAATTCACATCCTCACCCCACTCTTGCAAAACATGTTCACAGTAACAGGCAGTATTTATAGCACTGCAAAGTCTCAGGAGTTCAATATCATCTGTAATAACAACCATAAATTCAACATCTCTACTACGTTCATGCAAGATGGTGAAGAAATGACTCAGAAACAAATTTGCAGACGCGCCAATAAATTGATTCCTTCTTTGCATGGATGGTATGGACAATCCTCTCTCAATCATTGCCCATGCGAAATGAAAAACAGAATCAATAATTAATGGAGCTTTATAGTCTTCTCTAGATAAGAAAAGGAATGACTCTTCTTTGTAATAGGTATCTCCAGCTTGATTACTAGAAACTTTCAACCAGCTTGTTTCATCTTCCAGTTGAGGTTTTAGTTTGCCTTCAGCATCCTTCACTTCCATTTCAGCCCAGATCTGTAGCCAATCAGAGTTGTCATTGAATATTGACATTATTGAAAAGCTAGGAAAAAACCCATCAATGGAAGCAAATGATCCAGTAAAATGAATTCCTGAAGTCGAAAGAATCTTCATCCGCCTATCAAACGCAATCATAAGGTCAACCATATGAAGCAATGAAGAGGTTACCTCCGAGTCAGCATCTACATCCCTTTTGCAGTGATTTTTAGTAAGGGCAGGAAAAACCTGTCTCTCTAAATAATCCAAAAGCACTTTCATCATTGCTAATACCCAAGCTTCCTTAGCACTGCAACCCAGAATCATTGCATTATCAATAAAAGGCTGCAAAATATTTTCTACTCCATCCAAGAAATTTTGTGTAATTTTGTAGACAAGTGCAAAGATGAATTTTGGTTGATCTAACCATTTGGAGAAATGATATTCCATCCGTAAGGCAATAGGGTTCACCAGTTCATCTATAGGCCAAAGGCCATATTTGAAGAATGACACTTCACCCACATCATTGAAATCTGAAGGATTACAAGCTCTATGATTTTTCTGTAGAAGACTTGAGCGTGCTTCTCGCTTGGCCTGTAGCTGCTGCAGGGAGCATAATACTAAGAAGCTCTGAGAATACCTGGCTTTCTTTTCCCCTTGCATTAGAAACAATGGATTTTGCATTTCCATGCAATTATCTTTATCCACATTAGTTGCAGAAAGGGCTGGTGGCCACCCAAGGGATGCAATTAGAATTCTGTAATCAGTTAGACATTGTGGTCTCAAAATGGCAAGAGCTTTATCCACTCTAGAATCAACAGCCTTGAGCAAATTTGTCCACCAAGGTCTGTTTTTTGCAACACCAGCTAGAACTTCCTCTATATCCTTCATAGCCTTTACTGCCACAAGCTGTTTTGCTAGCCGCCATCCACTTTCCTGCATTCATTGATATAGAAAGTTCATACCTCTTAGTACAGCTACAAGAGAATGAAGCTGCTACCTCAATAGCTCAAGGTGAAGCTTTTGACTAGATTAACACAACACATTCTAGGAAGAAAATTGAAGATTGATATTAAAATAACTTTGTACCAAAAAATAAATTTATATATAGTTATTTAAATTGATAAAAAAAACTATTTGAATTCAACAATATGATGTTAGCATTTGAAACAAAAAGGTTTAGTTCAATGGGTCTACCAAAAAATATTTAAAATACAAAAAACTTATCACATAATTGATCAGCTAAAATTGAAAAGGGATCTATTTTAAGATACAAAAAAGAATTTGTAAGTAGAGCCTTGACATTCAGCAATTCATACTTACCTTAACTCGGCCAAGTTATTGACGATCTAAAAAATAAAGATATTTACATTTATATTTTATGTAAGCTATTATCATGTGAGCGAGAAAAAATCTTTCAAACTTATTAAATCAATAAATATTGCATTTGTGTTGTTACATATGATGTTTTCATTTTTTAAGATTATGCTAGTCTAACCATCTTAGTTTTGCCTTTGAAGATTTGGAAGCAAGACTATTTGAGTTTAAGCTAGTTGCATCGAGAAAATAACGTTCACTTGTGAACATTTGCTTGATAGTTGAAGCACATTACTCCACATGCATGCCAGTTGATTATAAATTGAAAGCAACGAGTAAAACTCATCGCTTAACTTTAATAATATATTCTCTAGACTGACTTATTCTATTTATAAATAAATAAAAAATTATTGAAACATAATTTTTTCTCAAAAATAAAAATATTATAAAGAAATTTGTTTTGTGACTAATCTAGTTTTGGGAAGAAAGATTATTTTCACAACATTTTTCATGAAAAAGAAAACTCGAGTAAAGAAAAAAAAAAAAGAAGAGCATTGCAAAGAAGAATACTAACAGCCAAAGCAAAGCGGGTAACGAAGATCGAAGAAGGCCATATCTTCGAGTATACTTGTATTTAAGTCAGTAGCGTGTCATTGAATATACGGTAACATGCTAACAGCCATCGTTTCTCAAATTTATACAAACCTCTGAATATTTAACCATCTAATTCACATATCTTTTGAAATACTCCAAACTTAAGTTTCTTTAGATGATAATTATTTTTCTGATCTTCAAAAGTAGATTGTTAGAATAAGAAATTCTTCTTATTTCATGAAAATAATTATGAAACACACTAAAAAAAATATTACGAACAGAATATGCTATAATAGCTGCCATGACTGTGTATGACATGATTTAAACATAAGTTCTTGAAAAAATATTACCAGATGTCCCAAGCCTTGATATGCAATAATCCAAATACCTTAGCTTCTTGGCTGAAAGTTCTAGAAGTTTCATTTGAATGATTTGATTGATAGTGATTATTTGGACAACAATAATGATCCCAATGATAATACATACAACATGCCAGACCTTTAATGATTATAATAATTCTTGTAGGCATGAGCAACATCAATACGCAATCAGAGTAATGCAAATTTTTGAGAAGACACTTGGCAGTTAAATGATTGGGGAAAAAAAACTAGAAGGATAAATTGTACAAATATATTATTTTGGGATATATCTGACTATATTATTTTGGCATCTGAGATTTTTGGAGGAAGGAATATAGCTAAAAATCTTATGTTGGCCTCTGATATTCTTGCAGCGTATAAAAAGTTTTCTAAGAACAGACATTTTTGTGCTAAAATCGATGTTAAGAAGTCTTTTGATTGTGTGAGACATACCTCGCTACTACGATTAGCACATTTGGGTTTCCCTTACTTTTTTTTTTCCAGTGAATCTCCACTTGTATTAATGATGTGCCTTTTTCCATTATATTCATGCCAAATTATGTAGCTATTTCAATTCTTCTGTTGGGTTTAAGACATGGCTGCTCACTCTCTCCTTATCTCTTCATTATCCTCATGGAAGTGTTGAGGGAATATTAAGGAATGCTGCACTTATAATTCTTTCAAACCCATCTGATTTAGCAAAGCGGATATTAGTGACGCTTCGTTGGAGACGGTTTTTTTCTGCTTCTTAAAGCAGTTTTTTAATAAAAAAATTTAATTAGAACAATTTTGTATTAGAAAGTTGCTTTAAGAATCAATAAAATCCCCGTCCCAAACGAAATCTTAATCATTGCAGATGACTCGCTTTTTTGGTATTGTTGCGCCAGAGTCCATTGGTAGATGCTTTTTGCACTTCAAAAATTCAAACGGATTGAGTCTTCAAGTTAAACTTGACAAAAAATGTTAATCTTGACAAATCAGACGTTTTCTTCTCAAACTCTAAACCAAATCTACAGATCTTTTGGTTTTATCTCGATTTAATTTGGACAAGTTCCATTTACTTGCCTTGGGATCCTTATTTTTATCTTACAACTAAATGTGTGATTACCAGGCTAACTTTTAATAGATTCAACTCTTGGACTGCAGGGTGGAAATAGAAATTATTAGGTAGTATCAGCTTATTAGATTTTCACTTAACAGTTACCTCAATTTTTTGTTCCGATCCTCTGATCATCCAAGGGCTGCCTTGAAAAAGATTAGTAGCATGGTAAAAAAATTTATACTTAAGAATAGAGATGATAAAAAAATTCAGAATTTGTCATTGAGTAAAGATGCAAGACCTGAGGATAATGGAAATCTTGGATACTACTCTTCTGATTATCTTAATTTGGTTTGTAAACCTAAAAGAGCTTGAAATATGATGACTGGCAATTCTCTTCACAGAATTTGGTGGATTAATGCTTATTGTGCAATCTGGAAACCTTTCTCTGCACCACGCTCCACCTTCTAGAAATCCATGAAAACGTCTGCCGGCTCTATAAAAGAATAATGTTAGGAAACATGGCTCAAATTTCTCTTTTCTATGACCATAGGTTGAATGGAAAATCCCTCTAGGAGTTTATAGGGGATAATGCATTTGTGATTTTCAAATGCTTGCCTTTCTAGCACCATCAACAACATTTCTTAGGTGTTGCCAGATGCTTTGAGATTTTTCCCTGATTGTCTCAAAAAATTAATAAGATTTATATCGCTTTGGAGATTGACATGATTCATTTAAATGGCAGAAAGGTTTTTTACTTTCTCCAATGCTTCGAAACAGCTCTTTTGCAATTCTTATTATATGTATTGGTGGAAATCTTCATGGTTTAAGAAACACTCCTTATATATATAACTTAGATATTTCTAAGACTGCAAGCAAATTGACAAATAGGTGGTTAAATGTCATCATTGCCTCCTATGTTTTATGGGGAAGAGAATAATAATCATCTTTTCTTTGAATGGGGATTGTCCATGTGGCTGATTCAAAATATTCTTCCTTTCGGCTTTTTTTTTTTTTTTTTTGAAACTTCTATTTTTCAAGTGCTTCATTATGATAAAACCTATCACACAAATCCCCTAGTTCGTAGTTTATACCAATTATTTGTTGGGATTACCATTAGAAGCATTTGGCATGAGAGGATTGCAAATCAATAAACAGGACCAAATGGCCAACTTTTTCAGCTTCATAATGGTTTATCTTTGAAGCCAGAGAGCTTGGTGGTTCGCATTAAATGGTAGGTGAAACTAAATACCTTAAGCTAGAAGTCTTCAAAGTTCTTGAATAATGCAATGGAAGATGTTTTAAAATGTTGCTATAATTTTTATTGCTTGGCTTTCTGGTCATTTCTAGAATTTTTGGGAGGTTTGGCAGGAGTTTTACTTTATCTTATTTGGCAACTTTGGCCTTTGTTTTGGCATTCTAATGGATTCTTCTTCATTTGGTTTGAATATTCTGGAGCCAACACTTACAGACCAGATTATAGGATGATGATGGGTATGATCAACCGGATAATATACAGTGAATGAAGAAAGCACTCAACCATACATTTTTATTATGGATGCAGCTCATTTACTAGATTACTATTGAGTTTTATTAAAATATTCATTTCACTTGAATTCCCATCCGCCTTCCATAAACATTCAATTAAAAAAATGCATTTTGGTCTTTGCGGGTGTTGTTTACCACAGTTTTTAGTTTAGTTGAAAGTTTTTTTTATTTCTACATAATGTGTCAAAAGTTTTTAAATTCACATAAATTTTGTAATTCTTCTTTTTCCCTTTTTGACTATTTGATTGAAGAGCTGGCTCTATTATATTTCATTTTTAACTGCTCTATGCTCAACTGTATGATTGCTCCTTTTTAATATAGATGAGCCTTAGCTCTTTATTGTCCCCCTTCAACCCCAAAAAATGGTGCCACAAATATTAGTACAAACTGGGCATTTAAACTAAGTTAGAGGGGTGGCATTGGCAGTGTGAAGTCCAAAATCCCGTGCCACTACTCCAGACTTATATGCTATTAAAAGACATAAAATAAGAGAAACAAAGTTTAATAGGAGAACTCACATCTTGAGCAATAGTTTGATTCGATGCTTTGGTCTTTCTAGAAACTTGCTTCATCATTGACAATGTTGCATCTTCAAGGTCACCAACTAAGGTTTCTAGACGAAGTACACTCTCTGCAAGATAAAACTAACAAAATGAATATAAATTAGGAATTATTTTTCCTTTGTAATAGGCACGACTAGAAACTTTTCTTAGATGGATGGATAAATGGGAAAGGAGTCTAACAATGTTAACACAACACGGCTAGTATTCTGCCAAATAGTTGTCCTCCCTCTCGTCCTCCTTATTGAAGTTGGACTACCATACCAGACCTAAGAATTAAATTATCATGTTTAAAAGTCCAGATGGTGAACTAATCTCTGAGCACCTGTGAGATTTGCAGTCCATATGATCCTTTTTTAAGCATGCAGTGAAATTTACTAAAGTGTCTTTATTTTAACAAATAATAATCATGTCAAGATAGACAATGAAATAGACACTATTTGGCGCATCCTAAATGCAAAAATAATAGCATACAAGTAGAACATCTAGCTCTTACCAACTAGAAGGCAACATGAACCTATGAAGCACGTATACAGATGTGAGAGCAAATAAAGCATGACATATCAACATTGCAGTGATTTTATCAATGAAATATATTGAATACAACTTGCCAAGGGCATTTAACCACTTTTTTACTGCATTTGTTTTTGCATTTAACACTCAAAAGTAGTCACTTATATGAAAAACTGTGTTTAACAGGTTATATGAATCCAAATATTAAGCAATTAATGGGTCATTAATAGCTAAGTTAGCTAAGACAAAAAAAAGAATATGTTAAGATAGTTGTATGAAAAATATAAAAACAATAAATTAAGAAATTATTATATTAAACGAATGGTTGGAGTGACATCTATTGAATATGAATAGGCTTATGTGGTAGAAATGTATAACAGATAGAAATTGTACTTATTAGACAAGTAAATAAAAAATAGTGTCAGAAAATTAGGAAGATGAAAAAATGATAATATTGATAGAATTTGTTCAAAATGTTTTGAGAATAATAGGCTTAATACCTTACACATAACTCAATATGACAACAAAAACAACAACAAAACTCAATGTTGTTGTGTTGTGGTACAAAACTCAATATGAATTAAAGGAAAATAAGAATACATAAAGATGGTCCTTAATAGTTGTGATAAGGCTAACGTGATGATGAATGAGACATTCAAGCACAAAAGTTAAGAATAAATCAAGTAAAAATTATATTACAAAAAAGTGAGAAAAAAATTAGAGTGGGAGAAGGAGAAAATATTTTTGTTTTGATATTATGAGCAAACAAGTGGCTTATGTTCTGTCCACTTCGCAAAACTCACATTTTGTGCCATATGCAAGGTGTTTCAAATTGAATCAATGATAAAAAAAAATTACAAAAATATTTAATGACACAAATGACATGTCAAATGGCACACCTAAAATGGTTTTAGAGCGTTCAAAGTTTATTTGTCTGGTTTGATGTATAGGACACTTGGATGACACAGACCCTGAGTGGGTGATCGTATTTCATAGAAAATAATCCACAAACTTATTATGCATCAGGCAATCCCAGATTAAGGAAGTTCGCAGTACATTTCTCCAAAGTTTCAAAAAGAAGATAGCAAATTTGCAAATAGGGTTCAACACAGTAGCTGTACTGGATTATTGCAAGGGTGTCAATTCTTCCCCTTCCATTCAATAATCACATGTTCAATTAGCATAACGAATTGCCACCAACATATCATGCTTGTAAGCAAAAGTAAAAGGAAAAACTGGTTCTATTACATACAAATAAAAAGGATAAGAAAAGGATTACCCGCATAAAGCCTGACTGAGTGGATGCGGCCAACCTCCTTGGCGATCAAGGGCAACTCAACAAGCAAGTTCTTCCCATGCGATCTCACACTTTCATCTGAAGTCTCAACAATGCATAAAACAATCAAATTGGCCAGTTTAGAAAAAGGCTAACTTGAAAGAGTAAAAAGGAAAAGGATAGAGAACGCACGTCATCAAGAGATGGATTAAGGATTAGTGCCGGCAGACCTGGCAATGAGCAAGGATGACAGGATTCTATCCCGCTTAGGATCCTCCCCATTTCGTTGGACTGGGAGATCCAAGATGATAGGGAAAGAGAGAGTCTCCTATTTAGGTTGAGGAGCTCCACTTCGTGATCGTCGCACTGTTGCTTCAGCCGAGCCGTGAAAGATTGAATTGAAGAGAGATCTTCGGGTTCCCGAAAGTGATCTTGCAGAAACCCTAGCAGCCAGCGAGGAATGCTTCCGGAGCCCGGCAGATCGACAGGAGTTCCCATCGTCTTCCGGCGCAGAATTTTCTTCTAATGCGGCACCTCAACAATTGGATTCGATACTTCAATGGACACCCATTTGCTCCAACCGCAGTACCGCACGCTGGGAGAAATTTTTAGATGCGCTTGTGGGCTGTTTGGTTGCAATTATTTATAATAAATGTAATATATCTGAAATACTTAAAAGGGGGATTTACATACATGCCATTTTATTATATCTATATTACATATTTAACATAACAACAATATCAACATCAAACCTTTATCCCACTACGTGGGATGGGCTACACTAATCTTTTTTCTCCATTGTGTTCTATTAAAGGTCAAATTCTCGTTTAAATCTAATAAAGAAAGGTCATTCCTAATATTTTTTAACCATGTCTTTTTAGGTCTGCTTCTACCTTTCTTAACATAAGTCAAATCTAATACCTCTACTCTCCTAACCGGGTCATTGGAAGGCCGCCGTTTTATGTGATCAAACCATCTAAGGCGACTCTCTCTAATCTTATCTTCTACTGGGGCTACTCCAACCTTTTCACGTATATGCTCATTTCGTATCCTATCTCTAAGGGTAAAGCCACTCATCCACCTGAGCATCCTCATCTCTGCCACACTTAACTTAATATTTTGCTTCTCTTTTAATGGCCAACATTCAGCACCATAAAGCATTGCAGGCCTCACTACCATCTTATAGAATTTTTCCTTAAGTTTGAGAGGTACTTTTCTATCACACAACAAGCCCGATGCATTCCTCCATTTCAACCATCCAACTTGAATTCTGCTGAAAATATCTCCATCTATTTCACCATCACTCTGAACAATAGATCCAAGATATCTAAAACGTGTACTCTTATTAATGACTTGATCGTCCAAAGTCACAAAATTAACAACAAATATACCACTCCGTCAAAACAAAGCCTCACTCCGTCTCTACCTTCGCCAATCCCTTCTCGTGAAATCCTATGTTTTCATGCTCTTTCTACCACGGTCCACCTATTGAGATCTCAGATGATGCTTAGGGGCTTGAAAGTTTTGGAAATGTCTTTTATGCATCCAAATGCTATATATTTCTGCTGTACTTTCTCAGAGTTTGATCATAGTGAGATCGCTTAGCGATTGTGTTTTCTAGTATTTTTCTCTTTGTTGATTTTGTTACTATTTCCTTTCAAGGGATTTATCTCGTCGGCTTTTTATTAAGACATGAGAATGCAGTTATTGCGTTAAAGTATAAAAATGTCTTTCAGATCAAACTAGTTAAGGGAGTTATAGTATGTAGCTGATTAGCTTTTGTCTTTTGCTCAACTGCTCCTACAGAATGCACCTATCCTTGCTGCAAGTGTTAATGATTTTGGATTCTAAACACAAAGAACACAGCTGTTCTACAACAATGCACGATTTTTTTTGAATGTTTGATTCTACAGATTTTGTTTTCTGAATGTCCGATTTTAGGGAGAAATAAAACTAAAGTGCTAAGCTACAATCGGACACTGCAATAATAGCTACATGAAAATATAACAAATCAAATAGAGTACACACGAAATGAAGAACTCACATGGTAGAAAGCATGTCAGATGCGGAGAAAGCAGAGGAGAGAAGCACACACAGAAAGAACTGCTCATGCGGTAAGGAAGAGACGGAGTGAGGCATTGTTTGGACCGAGTGGTATATTTGTTATTAAATTAGTGTTTGGATGATAAGAATGTAATATTTAAGTTTATGGTGTTAAATATGTAATATAGATATAATGAAGTGGTATGTATGTAAAATCCCCTCCTTAAAATTATTTGATTGGTTATTACATAAATTTAAGATATTTTTTATAGAAGTAAAGAGAATTTAAATATTTGCATTAATATATATTTTAAATTTTATTTTTAAAAATATATATATAGTTTCATTTAAAAAATTTAGGCCATAGTGCTATCACTAAAGAGAGTTGGTTGGGCCAAAATACAAAGTCGGTATGACAGTGTTACAAAAGAGTGATGGCTGGGCCATGTTGATGGGTGAAACCGTGAGAGCTCAACTATAAGCAAAGTTTAGATCATAACGGTAGGTAGGATCATAGCGGAGTGAGCAGTTGCAGTGTCATGCGAGGATGTGATTTCTTATGCTTCATGCAACATATTCTACATTCAGTTAGTTTGACTGAATTCAGAATACTCAGAAAAAATCTTAAGGGAGTATTCCAAATTCCTTAAAAAATTATTTCGTATTTAGTTTTTTCAACCAAATGATTGAAATCCCAAAAACTCAACATTTCTTTTACTATATACTTCTAAAATAAATATGAACAAATAACCCCAAAATTAAAAATAGGAACCCCCTCCATCAATGCTAGGTTTAGGAAGCCTATAACCACATCATCAAAATCCTCCTTTTGGATTAGTAAAAAGAACCATATTTCTTGGGCCAGCCTCAGCCAATACATATAGCTTAAGATTAAAATAAACTAAACTAAAATTAAATAAAACAAAAAAAAACTTAAATCAAACAAATAAAAAAAATATTATTATGCCTAAACTACCCTCACCTTAATCCACTCTCAACCTCTTTAACCCAATATGAGACAAAGTGCTTCATGACGGGAACCACCACTTGAATCTATAGAGACGACCTTTAGAATCCTATTTGCGTGGACGATGATTATATGATAAGGATACTAATGATGACACCAATTACTTAAATAGTAGAGATTGAGAAACCTCATAAGTAGAAATGAGATAAAATCTTAAATATTGAGATGTCTTTTAATGTAAATGTTAGAATTTTATTAAGAAACATCAAAGTTAAGTGTGCTTATGCAGAAACAATCTTTTGATGGGTGATCTCCTAGGAAGTTACACACTTACACCAACAGGATAAAACTTTGAGGCCATTATGCCAAAATGGATAATATCTTGATAGTTAAGAGTTTGGGCTATTATATATATATATATATATATATAATCCATGTATGGACAGATCCATCATCAATTGAATATTATTCTGAATATGAATTGTGATATAACATAATAAGGCTATTTTGAATGATGATATGTTACAATGAGCATCATATCATATCATAATATTAGTACTATGTTTCAGTATGAACTCATCATGTGTATACAATCAATTACATGTATGATGAAAAATGTAGAAATCATATTACATTACAAGGTGTCTCTTTGCATCAGCGCATATCAATTTATATCCTACAAAATAAATATTCATAACATATAATCATTGATTTCATATGTATTAATAGTCATAAATTATGGCTGATCATATTCATATCAATCATATAGTTATTATAACTATCACATACCATACAATATCATTTCATATTATCATATTAGTCTCAAAACAAATTAGATGTGGATTCACTATAGAATTTCGTTACTCTAATCAGTTCATATTAACTGTTTCTTTTATGCCTACAATCAATCATGTATTATGTTCATTTTAAGAAAAATCGTCAGCTACCCCCTATTATGTGATTTAATCTCAACTTATCAAATCAAGGCCTAATAAATCACCAAATATATTTTTCAAATTTTCATATGAATTTGGTCAATATCTAACAATAATGGCGTTGGTTTAGCTAAAAGCAAAGATTTAGTAGAAAAATTCGATATAATTAATATAAATTATTATATGAGAGTATTAAATTCTAAAATTATTTGACAATAACATAGCTTAAATTTACGCCTAATCTAAGTAAATTGTATTGGATAGTTTTTGGAGATTTAACATTTTTAAGTAGGATGGAAGGTTAATTTTCTTAAACAAAAATTCTTTAAAATTTATTAAACAAATAATCAATAATTACTATTAATTAAAAAATTAAAATTAATTAA